CCATACAATTTCAATATGTGTGCCTTACTATTCCTTGGTTTTTCTTCTTGGCTCCTTAAGAGCTTCAATTTTATGCTATATCCTCAGCAGATTTCTCTATATATTCATTCTATATGACAAGCTAGTGTCCTATCCAATGGTTCTCTCCATAGCTTCCAAAACAAATGGTAAGATTACAAAAGGAACCCCTAACTTCCTATATAGATTCTTATCTTCCTCCTACAGTGGAAGGACTAAGGATCATTCATGATCCTAACATGTGGGGGACATGTTTTATTATCTGTGAAATGCACAGTCATTGTGAGGAATAGTGAGATGAAGTATGTAGAGCAGCTGGCAATGTGTTTAACACATAAGAGGTGTTAAGTGTTAACAGAAACTCCCCATCGTTCACATGGGATGCCAGGTTTTTATACTTCTTTCAGACCCGGGAGATGGAAAACAGGCCCAAGAACTACGAATGGTTAAAAATCCATATATTCTCATTGATTCTGTCCATTTGTAAACTGAGATTATAAAATACCATATGAATATATATATACGAATATATATATATATACGTATATATATATATATATATATATATATATACGTATATATATATATATATTTTGAGGCAGAGCCTCACTCTGTTGCCCAGGCTGGAGTGCAGTGGTGCAATCTTGCCCCACTGCAACTTCTGCATCCTGGGTCCAAGCGATTCTCCTGCCTCAGCCTCCCAAAGAGCTGGGATTACAGGCGTGCACCAACACACCGAGTTATTATTAATTTTTTTTGTATTTTTAGTAGAGATGGGGTTTCACTATGTTGGCCAGGCTGGTCTCAAACTCCTGACCTCAAATGATCCACCCATCTCAGCCTCCCAAAATGCTGGGATTAGAGGCATGAGCCACCTCACCCAGCCATATTTTAGATGTTCTGATCATTTAACCAGTTAGAAACATAATAGAAAGATTCCATTCAAAGCAAAACCCAAAAGTTAGTAGTGTTTATCTCTTGAGCAATGAGATTATAAATTATCTCAACTTCCTACTTTTTAAACCTATTGTTTCTATACTTTCTAACATTAATATGTTACTTAAAATATACAAAATAACTGTAAAGGAAAGAAAATATATTATTTTTAAAACAACTCCCCAAAATCTCATGTTTTAAAAGGACAAAGACCATGCTTCTAAAAGTTGAATATCATAAAAATCTTATTTCCATTTTCATTGAGCTGTCTAGAAAATTAAAAGGCTCCTAGACCTTTTGTTACATATGTTTTACATAGTAGCTTTACTTATATTTACTAGAATATAATACCTAATAGATATTTTTGCTGATCACATTTTACTGGTTAAATATGTTAGAAGCCTTTCATTATGAAAAGTAAAAAAAAGAAACAATCCAAGATGGCTGATCACTAACATCTCGGGATTGTAGCTCCCAGTGAAAGTGCAGAGAACGAGAGGATGCCACACTGTCAGACGAATTTTTGTTGCTCACAGACCAGAAGATTCCCCGTGGAGGAACTCCATGGGTCACCAGCGTGACTCTTGTGGCTGGTGCAGTGGCTTTGCCGGCGCCCTGGCGCGGCAGCTCTTGGTGCAGAGTAAACGGGACTGGTTCCCCTTCAGACCAACGTTTGGAGCTCCATGAAGGCAGAGTCGCCTATTACGGAGTCAAGAAGGAAGCCAGACCAGAGACGCCGGGGCAGAATAGCACCATCAGTCTTAACGCCACTGTTTTGGCCAGTGCAGTGGGTTGCTTAGATTTCGGCCCTGGGAATTAAGAAGTTGAGACCTAATTTGAAAGTTGAGATGCAGAGACCTAATTTGAAAGTTCGTAATTACAAAGATGACAGGTGGATAAACTTACAACAAGGGGAAGAAACCAGCATAAAAAGGCTGAGAATACTCAAAATCAGAATGCCTCTCCCTCTACAGAGGATCACAGTTCCTCATCAACAAGGGAACAAGGCCTGATGGAGAACGAGTGCATTCCATTAACAGAATCAGGCTTCAGAAGGTGGATAATAAGAAACTTCTGTGAGTTAAAATAACATGTTGTAGCCCAACGTAAAGAAACTAAGAACTTTGAAAAAAGGTTTGACGAAATCCTAATGAGAATAGACAATTTAGAGAGGAATATAAGTGAATTAATGGAACTGAAGAATACAATACGGGAACTCCAAGAAGTATGCACAGGTTTAACACTCGAATTGAACAAGCAGAATAAAGGATATCAGAGGTCGAAGATCAAATTAATGAAATAAAACAAGAAGACAAGAATAGAGAAAAAAGGATAAAAAGGAATGAGCAAAGTCTCCAAGAAATATGGGACTATGTGAAAAGACCTAATTTACATTTGATAGGTATACCTGAATGCGACGGAGAGAATGAATCCAAGCTGGAAAATACTCTTCAGGATATTATTCAGGAAAACTTTCCCAACCTAGCAAAGCAGGACAATATTCAACCCCAGGTAATACAGAGAACACCACAACGATATTCCGCAAGAAGAGCAACCCCAAGGCACATAATCGTTAGATTCACCAGGGTTGAAACAAAGGAGAAAATACTAAGGGCAGCCAGAGAGAAAAGTCAGGTTATCCACAAAGGGAAGCCCATCAGACTCACAGCAGATCTCTCAGCAGAAACCCTACAAGCCAGAAGAGAGTGGGGGCCAATATTCAACATCCTTAAAGAACAGAACTTTCAGCCCAGAATTTCATATCCAGCCAAACTAAGCTTCATAAGTGAAGGAAAAATAAAATCCTTTGCAAACAAGCAAGTACTCAGAGATTTTATTACCACCAGGCCTGCTTTATAAGAGCTCTGAAAGAAGCATTACACATAGAAAGGAACAACCAGTATTAGCCTTTCTAAAAATACACCAAAAAGTAAAGAGCATCAACATAAAGAAGAATTTACATCAACAAATGGATACAACAGCCAGTTAACTGCAAATGGCAGTAATCCTAAATTTAAATAGACTAAATCCCCCAATCAAAAGATACAGCCAAGACCCAACGGTATGCTACATCCAGGCCCATTTCACATGCAAAGATACACAAACACTCGAAACAAAGGGATGGAGAAAGATTAACCAACTAAATGGGGAGCAAAAATAAATAAATAAAAAGCAGGAGTTGCAATTCTTGCATCTGATAAAATAGATTTTAAAGCAACAAAGATATAATGGTAAAAGGATCAATGCAACAATAAGAGCTAATGATCCTAACACCCAGATACATAAGACCTATAAAGAGACTTAGACTCAATGAGACAGAAAATTAATAAGGATATCAAAGACTTGAACTCAGATCCAGAACAAATAAACTTAATAAACATTTATAGAGCTCTCCACTTTAAATACACAAAATATACATTCTTGTCAATACCACATCACACCTACTCAGAGGTTTAAATGAAATATTGATCGGCCATTATTAATACCCATTTTTAGAATAAAGCAACATTCCTGTTCTTTCTCCCTCTTTTTCTTCCTTTCTTCCTCTCCTTCACTACTTTTTTTCTTTCCTTCTCTCCTTTCAAATAAAAGTAAAATAAAGAAAATATAGCTATTCATGCATTTAAAATAATGGAAACAATCAGTAAAGTAGAGAATAGTGGGATTTTCCTGTTGGGCAGAGTAAACTCCATGCCCCTCTGATCTGTAAAATATTTACCTGTTGCTCTTTAATCTGAGCTCCTTGAATCTGTTCTAGTCCCAGTTTAGAAACAAAATCCTCGGCCCTGCCCCCATGTCACCCCCTATCCTGGAATAGCCCTCTGATATGAAAGCTGAAAAACGATTCATTTGTCTTAAATTCAAATAAGCCATCTTACTTTTAGGTCTCTCATTCCACTACCAGGTGCAACCCAGGAGCAGTGAGACAAGCTTATACCATTTGGGACTAGGAGGACTCTTTTATTTTTTTTTGAGATGAAATTTTGCTCGTTGCCCAGGCTGGAATGCAATGGCTTGCTGCAACCTCACCCTCCCTGGTTCAAGTGATTCTTCTGCCTCAGCTTCCCAAGTAGCTGGGTTTACAGGCACATGCCACCACACCCAGCTAATCTTGTTTCTCCATGTTGGTCAGGCTGGTCTCGAACTCCTGACCTCAGGTGATTCATTTGCCTTGGCTTCCCAAAGTGCTGGGATTACAGGCATGAACTACCATGCCCAGCTAGGAGGACTCTTTTAAAAGCACAGACACCCAATTAAGCACAAAAGAATATACTTAGAAGGGTCTAGTGCAAATGAGGACCATGAAGCCCGAGCCTGACTTTCATCAGCCTGGTGGTCCATCTGCCCCTGGCCACACCCTACCTTTCCTCTTCCCTCATGCCCCTTCATACCTCTGTCACTCTCTTCCACACTGCTTCCCTTTCTGCTATGTCTATTTTTATGCATGTATCCATGCTTTAGCACAACTCCTAGATCTTTAGCTTTAAAATTGAGCACCTCCTCACTTCAGGATTTTACTTGGCCTTTCCTATTCAAGTAAGTCCACCCAGAGTTATCTATGGTAGAGCAACTGTACAATTATTTTGTAAAAATTTAAGTTCATAGTCAATTGAGATCTGGAACCGTCTATGGCAGGCAAAGATGCACATGTAAGTAGGTATATGTGAGCTGGATATTTTGTTTCCTGTCTTGCTTGATGTGTTGTAAAACAGGATTTTGAGTCTACATGGCTGGTGTCCCCTAGAGTTGTACACAGCCATGATGGTGATGTCTTATCTTTTTCATTCTCTGAGTAGGCTCTCACTGAACAGTGAACAGTGAACACTGAACAATGAAAGTGTCATTAGCACTGCTTCATTCTGTATATATACAACATAATGGTGTTAAATACATATTTATTTCTTGTAAATAGCTCTTGTTTACCAAAATAATAATCACTTTCATTTCCTATAGCCAGTTCCCATTCTCCTCATAAATGAAAGGTGGAAAATCATGTCAGTTACTCTATGTCCTCTCTCCTCCACCTGTTTCTTGTTTTGTTTTAGGCACTGGTGAAAGTCAATGTGAAACTGAAGCCGATGCTGGATTCAGTAGCTACAAACAGAAGTAAGTGGGAAGAGCTGCACCAAAAACGGCTGCTGGCCTCGACTGCCTTGTCCTCCCCAGCCAGCGTCATGGTAGCCAAGGAAGACAGGAACTAAACCTCCAGGTCAGCTGCAGTTGTGAAATGACTGCAGCCTGAAGGGCCAGTTTCAGTCCAGCCATGTCATCTTTTTGTTCTTTTAGCTCAGAAGACATAATGTCTCGAGGATGCACTGGGAAGTATGCCTGGGCTTTCACCTTGATGCGTGGATGTAAAGGACAAAGGAAGAGTTGAGGCAGGGAGCACATACCAGGACACTCACTCTTCCCTGATGGACATGCATGGGCTGAAATGAAGGCTCTGGGTAGAGGACTGATTTGGATCCAAGGAACTGTGGACAGTCGGCCCACTCACTCTGAGCTGAGGGAACACTGAACAGTGAAAGTGTCATTAGCACTGCTTCATTCTGTATATGGCTTTTCTGTTTGTTACAAGCCAAACACTGCCTACTTTTGCTTCCTGTCCCTGAATCCTTTTTGTACCAGACTGTCCCAAGAATCCTGATTTGTATTCTATAGAGGTATTTAATTTTTAATCCTAGAGCTTCTTATTGATGGATCCTTTAGAATTGCCTACCTAAAAGGTAAACTATGCTATCCTTATAGATACTGATCAATCCCAGTTCTCCCCTTAAAAAGGAGTAACGTAATAGGAGTTCAGCAAATGTGTTTGATGGGTAATTTTACATTGTGACTATGTGCTCTTTTCCAGAGTTTTAAAACTCAGCCTTCATTACAGACCACGTCTTCTCCCAGAAGGAATGGATTGATAGACTTTGATTAAAGTAAGGGTAGAAGGAAATCCATAGCTGGATTTACCACAAGTGACATCTAGGAACCATAGTTCACAGGACACAGCAGAACCAGGGAGACTAAGCATTGACTACCTTGACTTCTCCTAGTGAGGAGTTCTGGTATAAAATTTAGGATTACTACCAGTAACCAACTTAAAGCCAACTATTGGGGTCCCTAATTTTAGATTTTTCCTTAAGAGTAAGAAATAATGCTTCAAATGTTAAGAAATAACAGTCTGGGCAAAGAACACATATTCTATAGGAAGCCAGGTTTATAACAGGTAAGAATAAACTGTAATAAGTAGATGTAATGACTAGAAAGCTGCTTTGCTCCCTATTTTGAGAAATTGTGGACATGGTGTGTATTATCCAAAGAACAGTGGACTAGGAGATAAATTTCTATCCCTAGCTTTGGCATTATTGACTGGATTAACTTGAACAAGTCACTTAACTTCTCCAAGCTTGTTTATTACATTATGTTAGGAAATGATTCTTGAACATGTTTTAACCTTAGAACTCTTTGTTCAAATAAATCTTTCAATGAATCCCTAACATATAAAACATCAAAAGCTGAATTCCTCTGTGAATTATAGGCAGGATTTGGAGGTGCAGAACACCTACAAGCCTTCATCTCTCTGATTATATACATGGGGGTCCACAGGGACTCTGGGGAGTTTGAAAATCCCTGGACTAGATGAAACCTGAGGCCCATTCTAGCTCTTAAAAAAATCCAAAATTTACAAACTGTTTTTCTTGTTATTGTTATTAATTAGTATCAATCATTAACTTTACAAATATTAAAGAAATAGGGGCCTTGTTCTACAAGGGACATTGTTTTCCTGGTACACAGTAGACAATTCAGGAAATGTCTGAAGAAGGAATGGGTAAAATTAAGATACCAAAATGGAAGTGAGGGGATAGAAGGTAATTGTAGAGAAAAAGACTCTTTATGGCAAGAAACAAAGTAAAAGCAAAATATAAACCAGACTAAGGGTTTATACTTAAAAGCAAGAAGGAGAAGAAATGTAAGAAGACCAACAAAGGAAAGACAGGGACTGAGGCAGGTGGTCAAGGGAACTGCCAAAAAAAAGGAGAAAGTCAATCCAAACAGAGAAAAATAGCACTTCCAACCAAAAAAATGAAGGTGCAGAACCCTGTCATCAATTGCTCAGAAAAGAGAGACACTTGAGCAGGGAGGGGTTTGAGAAAGGAGAGAAGAAAGGAATGAGAGCCATAAAAAATAATGTTCCTAGCTACCATTTACAGCTGTCTCTGCAGGGAAGACTGGAGAAACTAGAGGGGAAAATGAGTGCAGGAAAAAACCGCCTCTGCAGAGCAGGTAAGAGGAGGTTGTTCAGATTTATGGATTTTATTAAGCCAGTTTTCTGTATCACTCTGCTATAAAGGAAAATAGCTTCTGCAGGGCTGTATCTCCTCCTTCAGGTGAGGAACAAAGAGTAGGTGGAGTTAGGGACAGAGTCTGGTCTGCGAGATCATGATGTGTCTGCAGCTCAGAAGCACTGCAGGTGTTTCTGGGTAATGTGCCACATCATGTTTATATCACAAATGGGAATTGAAAATCAGTCTGTGTGAGGCAGAGATGAGCCCACATCTGTCATCCTCCCCAATAATAAATAAATAAATAAATAAATAGCCCAGACAAACGGATGCCAGTCCATCTAAAGTAGCATTTTAAAGCATGTGCATTATGACAAAACTGAACCCAGGGTCTGACGAGACTACAGGCTGCCGTGAGCACTGTAGCTATCCTGCATGTTGATGCTACATATTGCTAACGGGATCATAATTTATAGTACAAACCCTACAGCTTCCACTAAGGTTGAGTTTTCCTCTCATTTTCTTGCCTTTTTATTGGCTTAACTGCACGGTTGCCAATAGCAACATCCACTGGTAGCAAGGGGAGTTCAACACCATTGCAATCTGCCATACAGTGGAGCCCTGACAATGTCAACCATCAATCAAGTAGCTGTTTGTAATTGCCTCCATCTATTTCTCCTGTCTTGAGGTATCTTTCCTACTGTGGGTCAAGATTCAGAAACTGCTGACTAATGCCATGGGTCTGTTCCTCCATGATCATGAAGCAGTGGAAAGGAAGGTAGCAGCTTCCTGGTGCCAGCAACCCCAGAGATTAGAGATTGAACTCTTGCAGATTTCAGGCATTTTTAATCCTTTTCTAAATAATTTATAATTTTCCAAGAATGTGAGGCATATGCAGTTATCCATATATTCTGCTTTTCCAAAAAAAGAGAAAGTTTCTTAGTCCTTATTATTAATGTTTATCTCCTATTGGAGAAAGACATTTGAAATGTGAGCCTTATTGTAAAAACTCAAACTGACCAGATTATGTTTGCTTCCTTGGGTCTCCTGGCATTAATGGTTGAAAAAACTTCATCCCACTTTTTCTACGAGATATGTTTTTTTCAGACATGATATTTATTCTTGCTAGTCAGTGTGTAGCTAATATGTGCACAATCAATAATGTAGCAGCAATCCTGGTGGGTAGGGACAGCTTCACATACTGCAAAGAGTGCCATTCAGTACATAGCAGACTGGAACTCCATCCTAGCTTGGTCACCAGCTGAACCTGTAATCCAAGTCTTAGATTCTCCATCTATTAAATAAAAGCACTGACTTTTATTTCATTCCCACACCAAAGGACCAAGATGTGTTTAGCTTTAAAGAAATTTTCCAGATAATTTTCTTGTTTATTCTTCTCAAATAAAATAGGAACAAACCTAAAACAGTCATCCTCTTAATAAAGACACTTATAAGAAGTTACATATATGGAATCGATATAAACACAATCATACTACAGATGTCTCTTGAGTCTGCCTCTAATTATGATGAAAGCTATAGTCATCAATACAGTTTTTTTTTTTTAATATATCCTTTTTTGAGACAGGGTCTTGCTCTGTCCCCTAGGCTGGCACAATCACTGCCACTGAAGCCTTGACCTCTCCAATTTAAGTGATCCTTCCTGCCTCAGCCTCATGAGTAGCTGGGACCACAGGTGTGCACCACCACACCCAGCTAAATTTTGTATTATTTGTAAAGACGAGGCCTCCCTATGCTGACCACACTGATCTCGAACTCCTGGGCGCAAGCAATCCTCCTGCCTCGGCTTCCCAAAGTGTTAGCGTTAGAGATGGAAGTCACCACACCCAGCCCATATGTCCTTTGTTTCATTAAAAAAATTAGATTATCTGATATATCCCATAAATGGTAGTCATTAATTTAGAAGTGAATTTATAAAGTAAGCCAAGAGAAGTTAAAAACTGCACATGCATTTTGTTTCTAAAATCTGACATGTCTATGCACTTCCAGCTATTTTATATTTGCAAATACAGTGGGTTAGAAATCATCTTTAACATTTTGTGTTAGTGTAATAACAATATTATCTAATATTAATGCTACCAGAATTCAGTTGCTTTTTCTGTGTATCAAAATTTATCATACTTTATCCACTTACACAAGGTGATAAACAGAATCTGCCCAATTTATTCCACAGCAAAATTATTGTAAAATCTGTTTTTCCTGCTGACTCTTAGAAATTGCAGAAAGACAAAAACCAGTTTCATCTCTATTAATAGTGTGAAACAATTTCCTTCCAGTGGGACAGAAATCTAAACATATTAGGGAAAGATTTAAGTATAAAGAAAAATGCTTTGACTGGAAAAAAAACCCACAAAAACACAAAAAGGATTCATTAAAGCAATAGAACAAAACCTAATTTGGGACCCTAAAAACTCTGGCAATGCCACGGTAATGAAGTTTTCATTATCTGCTTCAGAGTAACGTCTCTGAAATTGTTATTCTGCTACATGCTGTAGCTAACTCCCAAAACTCAAATGTATCAGGAAATGTAAAGGTTAAGTCTGACTACAAGAAGGCCAAAATTGCACCAGCTTCCTAAGTGAAGAATAGCAGAATAAAACATACAGAAGGCAGAAATAAAATGAGGTGTATCTGGAGAATTTCATGATGAGCATTTAGATTTAGCAGTGCCCAATGTCACTTACACTGTTTGTCATGACCTTGTCTTCAGCTATTAATTTGGGGTTGTATATCTTTTTTTATTTAATTTTGAATGTTCTTGCATGTTTGGTACATCTCTCAGCACTGCTAAAGATTGTTTATCTATATAACATAACTACACCAATATCATTTAATGTATACACTAGTACAAAAATGTTTTTTTATTAAATGAAGAATTTGCTGTGAAAAATATACTATTTGTGGCCACCATTTATATCTGTGTTCATTTTCTGTGTGTATCTGCATGTGTATTAGAATCCCAGTTTTTCTTTTGCTCTAGTTTAGATTAAGTCATATTTAGATGAAATTTAAAAACTAGCATTGGAAATAGGAGGCTAAGTTTTGTTAAGTGTCATTCCATTGGGGGGAAATTGCTTTTTCCATTTTATTTTCGTGTACAATAATCTCAAAAGGATCTCCTACTGACTTCCTTCCTAATTATTATTGTTTTACATGAAAGAAAGGAAATATGTTTTCAGTTGAATTATTTGAAATCATGCACTTTGTGTAGATTTCCCAGATTGATGTTTCATTGTAAGAATATTACATTATAGACCACTTGGCCATTTCACAAGCAACTAATCCATAGTTTTGGAATTCTGCTTTAAGAGACCTAAATATCTTTGTTTTTAATAAAATACTTAGAGTTTAACTAAAGCTCTGAAATAACCTGTATTTCTTTTGAGAAGGGTGATTTTAGGGCTGAAGAAGGAAGCAAGCATCCAAATACCTACAGTTTAAAAATTAACTGTTAATTTATTCCATTAACCTTGTCTTGATCTGTGATGTTTTCACTGTGAGAGGGATACTAGCACAGCCCTGTCCATATAGCTTTTTAAAGATGATAAGAGGTTCTTCGAATTATTGAAGTTTTTCTGGAGGTAGGAAAGTCTGCAGCCAAAGGCTGGGTTCCTGTGTCCGTTACAGATTGCTCAAATTTGCATGGGCAATTACACAGGGGGATCGCATCAATGCAGGACTGCCAGCCACACTGACGCCATACAATTACACAATGGCTTCGGTGCTTAAACTTTAAAATTCTTACACCATTGTGCCTGTTCTATTAGAACAAACTGCAGCAAATGATCCAAAGCCAATTCAAATGACTGAAGAGGAGGTGCCCAGAGAGAGGGAAGAGGTGCAGTGTGGCCCACTACTGGCCAGCATACGCAATCACTGTTGCTGGCTGCCGCAATCAGCAATCACTGGCCTTTGTGCTTTGCAGTCTGCAGTTTTAAAGTGGGGCCAACAATAAGGCTCACCTAATTCACAGAAGGGCGGTGAGGATTAATGAGGGAAGTTAGGCAAGGCAGCCCTGATACTCAAAGTACTTCCTAAACATAAGAGCTTGGAGTAGCTCTTTGTTTTAATGGTTGGTTTTTTTTAAAATGCTGCTGTATCTACAGTTTTGCCTTCTCTATTAATCCCTTTTATAAACCAAAATGCTATTGTGTTCTCCCTGGGAAGTTAATTTAGACAATAATACTCTATACCCCAAAACACAAGCTACTTGATCAAAAGCAAGGGATATTCAAGAAGAAAATCTAATTAAAGTATTAATAAAGCTGGAACTACCAGCAAAGAGTTCATAACGAGGTTAAATGTCACACCATCTGAGCACAAATGTTCTCAAGTGTTGATTTTAGCATACACTCTTTCCAAAAGTCTTAAAAGATTGAACAGATGCTCCTAAAAATCAGTCAACTATATTTCCAATTCGGCACTAATTTTATTCTTTTCTTCTCTGTTCATGGTAGAATACTGGAGTGAGGGAATGGGGACGCAAGGTAACTGAACTTCCCAAACTGTGCACCCTGAAGAAAGTGGTCTGAAACCAAAACGAAAATGAAATAATAACTGGAAAGTAGATTTGCAGAAGGTCCTCCCTTATCAAGGAAGATGTTTGACCACAGCTGTTGTTGAAATACTCAGAAATTAACAATGTTTACCAACAGAAAGATACAGTATAAATAAGACATACCTTACAACTAGTTTTAAAAGAGAATGCCAAAGAGATTACATACACAAATAGAATATGGGATTTGATCATGGCATATTTTGGCAGGCAGAACATAAGCATGCTAAGAACCAAGCATCATGCTTTTTGCTCCTATATATTTTGCCTAAATGAAACTCATCTACATGATAAACATGTCTCCCTTTATGTAGCAAAATCCACACTGAATCCAACTCAAATTTCATCAAACTACAATTCCTTTCTACAAGTCACCAAATCACATTATTACAACCACCAAATGCTTTCCTATTGCTTGAAATGGTATGATACACTCACTTTTTGATATATGCTCCATGTTTTCAAGATCCTATTGCAAACAAAACGATGCTTTATGACACTTTATAAAATTCCACCCTATTTAATTCTTTCCAGAATTTCTATCATTAAAGGGCCTTCTCTCACCACCACCCCCAACAAAACTAATCTATTCCCCAACTGCCTATCAGAGACCAAATAAAAAGTCGGTCTATCAGCAGCAGTGATGGTCATGCCAATTTCACAGTGTGATTTGTGCACTCATTTCATTTTGAAAATGACCCTGCCCTCCATCTGTCTAAGCCGAATGTCCTGCTTTTTTCAAGGCAGGCCTCTGGAGCAGCATCACATGAAATAAGGAGGAAGAGACACAGAACGGCCTCCCTCCTGCTCACTTCAGCTGCCATGCTAACAGGTACCCACACAAAAAGGAGAACCCCAACTGAATCCTGGTAGGGATCCCAGAAATTTGGAGGAGAAAATATAGTCCTTTTTCTTTTCATACATTTTCAAGAAGCCATTTGAAGGTGATGTAAATACAATCCTGCAAAACAGAGAGAAAGACTAAAGGTATGAAAGGCAATTTTCCATTCCCACTTTGTCATCTTACTTTAATTTAATAGCAAATTACCTAAGGTAACAGTACATACACAAGAATTTTAAAATACTGAGTCTTGTGAGGCACAGTGGCTCATACCTGTAATCCTAGCATTTTGGGAGGCAAAGTGGGAGGGTTGCTTGAGGCCAGGAGTTCAAAATGAGCCTGGGCAACATGGTGAGACCCTATCTCTATTAAAACATTTTTTTTTAAGTTTGGCATGGTGGTGCACCTGTAGTCCCAGCTATTCGGGGGGCTGAAGCAAGAAGATCACTTAAGCCCAGAAGTTCAAGGCTGCAGTGAACTATGATCAAGCCATTGCCTGAACAACAGAACAAAGCCCTGTCTCTAAATAACAAATAAATAATAAATAAATAAATCACTTGAGCCCAGGAGTTCAAGGCTGCAGTGAGCTATGATCATGCCATTGCACTCCAGCCTGAACAACAGAACAAAGCCCTGTCTATAAATAAATAAATAAAATACTGAGCCTAAATTCCCAAGGGAGAATCATCAGGCAGCCAGCTATAAATAAAACAATGCATTCCCTCCCCCAATTTATTACTGAGCAGTATCCTTTACCCATGTGCCTCCTTGGGTTTAAGACTCTAAAAGGGTGCACCAATAGATGAGATTGAAAGAAGCCTTAGAATAGAGCTATAGTAGTATTCCATAGTTGCTTTCTGTGGGGTCTTGGGTGAGCAAAGCCCCATTCAATCCTTCTGAAATGGGTGCAGTTTCCTTTCTTGGACTTGACCTTGTCGAGTCACAGCCAAGAAGACACAACTCTGCCAATTTCTAGTAAGGGAGAAGACTGAATAAATAAAGTCACCCATTTGATGATATGAGCAATCACACACCTAATAAAAATCTCCCAGTGATACCAAGTAAAAACAAGCTACACAATTCCACTAGTCACATCTGCTCACAGCAGGAATCAAGGCCTAGAAGTTCAAAGTCTACTACCTACACAAAGTTAGTTCATTGTTTTAATGGAGAAACAGAGACAATAATATTCCTTATAGACACTTAGCACCAAACAATGGGCCCTTACAAACTCATGTACATGAGATACATGGATCCGGTTATTCATCATTCACTTTCTTATTGAAATTGGTTATTGGATATCGTGGCTCAGCCCCTACCTACCTAGGTGTGGCCTTAAGCAAACTATTAATTTAAATAGTTTAATTAATAATGTAATACTTAAATCTTTAAACCTTTCTAGCTCGCAGACTTCCTCATCTTCAATATGCAGAATGCAGGCTGCTTATTCAAATTAGAACTACTATATGTAAACAGTCTATAACAGAGTGCTATATGATATGGCTGATACTGTTATCAACCATATGCTGCTCTATTCTGTTCTTAAAAACTGTGCCCTTGGGGTAGCATAATAAGAAACTGCTCTAATTCCAAGGGAATTCAAGGAGTTAACTCCCTTTTGCAATCCAGTCCCTTTATTAAAAGGTCCTTTTATTGTACTGGCGAATCTCTACATTATTAAAACTAAGTCAAACCCCAGCATTAATATAGACCACACCGTGTACAAGGCTCAAAATCGCCAGGAACACGGAGCCGGAAACCATCCTCCGCCGCGCAAGAGACCGCGGTGGCACAACAGACGAAGAGAGCTCCCCTCATCTTTCGTGGGCACGAAAGGCAGGTGACTCTGCGTCCCGACGGGCCGCGGATCAGGTCAGTACAACAGGACTACGCCTCCCAGCATGCAGTGCGACCACGCCTGCGCAGCTGCGCCACTGGAACGGTGCTTGCCGCGACGCTGAGATTCAGTCTTTGAACAGCCCGGAGGAGTAGCCTTTCCCCTCCTAACTGCCGCAACTCCGCAGCCCCGACCTTTGAAAATCAAACCGAAATGGAGAGACTAACGAGAATGGTTCCTTTTTATTCCTCCGTGGCAAAGTAACCGGCAGTCTTCCGTTTCCGGTTGCCGTGTTGCCGTGGTAACCACAGACAAAACAGCCGTGACAGTTATGGCCGGCCTGAACGACGCGCAGATCCCCGACGGGGAGTTCACCACAGTCGTGTACCCGCTCATCCGCGATGCCCGCTATGCCGAGGTGGTGCAGCTGCTGGGCCGAGAGCTGCAGCGGAGCCCGCTGAGCCGCGCCGGCCTGTCATTGCTGGGCTACTGCTATTACCGCCTGCAGGAGTTCAGGCTGGCCGCCGAGTGCTATGAGCGGCTGGATCAGCTGCACCCGGAACTAAAGCAGTACCGCCTGTACCAGGCCCAGGCCCTATACAAGGCCTGCCTTTATCCGGAGGCCACCCGGGTGGCCTTGCTTCTCCTGGATGACCCCGCCTACCACAGCCGGGTCCTCCGCCTGCAAGCTGCCATCAAATATAGTGAGGGCAATCTGCCAGGGTCCAAGAGCCTGGTGGAGCAGCTGCCAAGTGGGGAAGAGGGAGAAGATAGTGGGGTCGAGAATGAGACTGATGGCCAGGTCAACCTGGGTTGTTTGCTCTACAAGGAAGGACAGTATGAAGCTGCGTGCTCCAAGTTTTTTGCAGCCCTTGCAGGCCTCAGGCTACCAACCTGACCTTTCCTACAACCTGGCTTTGGCCTATTACAGCAGCCGGCAGTATGCCTCAGCGCTGAAGCTTATCACTGTGATTATTGAGCATGGCAACCGCCAGCACCCTGAGCTAGGTGTGGGCAAGACCACTGAGGGCATTGATGTTCACAGTGTTGGCAACACCCTAGTCCTCCACCAGACTGCTTTGGTGGAAGCCTTCAACCTTAAGGCAGCAATAGAATACC